AAAATAATAATAATTAATTTAAAATAAATTTAAAATTAAATAACAATAATTATTTTAAAATAAAAAAAATAATTTTTTTTCATTGCAATATTCAACAACCATTCAACACTAGATAACCGGCCTAACCGCCAAATGAAAGAATACAAATCATACAATCCAAAATAAAAAATTCACGGGGGCGTCTACTCCAAATAGCCGGCGGTCCGCTTCTATCTTCTTGCTCTCTTGCACTTTCTTGGTCCTGTCATGATGTCAACGTAGAGGTTCCCTTCGAATTGTGCGTCTTGAGTTGGTTTTTGTCCTGCGTCTCTTGATGACAGTGAGAAAATCGGTGCGTTCTGTTTGTGGTGGGAAAATGACCCCTGGCCTTCAACTTAAGATTTGTATTTAATTCTAAATTAATTATTAATAGATAGAATTATTTTTTATTTAAATTACATATTTATTTATTAAATTTTTTATATGAAATTTTTTTCTTCAACACATGTAACTTTAGTATGAATATTGGATCCCATCACATAATTTAATACACCTACTTATATGCAAACTTAATATAAATTTTGAATTCTATTAGGTAGGCTATTAAATGGCTTCTCAAGAATGGAGTTTGTATTTTTATAGTATGTAAAAATAATATGTGACTTTCAATATAAAACTTATATTAAATATAAAATTAATAAATAATAAGTGAATAGCTTTCCATATATTTAAATTACATATTTCTTTATCACATTCTCAATACTAGATTCTCGCTCAGTACACTTCATCATGTATAAATCTGGTATGAACATTAAATTTTATTATGTAACTTAATATGTCTACATGATATGAACTTTGGATCCTTTCAAGTGAATTATTGACGGATTTTTTAATAACAAGTTTGAATTCTAATATTATGTGAATATGGCATATGAATTTTAGCACAAATTTTATATCTTTTTTAAAATTAATTGATAATAAATAAGTAATTTTTTTATATTCAAATCATATATTTTTTTCTTATATTTTTACGAGAGATTTTCTCATTTAATAGGTGGGATTATCTCAAAGGGAAGATCTTTCCGTG